TACAGAGACACCTGTCAATACACTACCATCCACTACAGAGACACCTGTCAATACACTACCATCCACTACAGAGACACCAGCCAATACACTACCATCCAGTACAGAGACACCTGTCAATACACTACCATCCAGTACAGAGACACCAGCCACTACACTACCATCCACTACAGAGACACCAGCCAATACACTACCATACTCTACAGAGACACCAGCCAATACACTACCATCTACTACAGAGACACCAGTCTCTACACTACCATCCTCTACAAAGACACACTCTACAGTCTCTACAGAGACACCACTACATCCACTACAGAGACACCAGCCACTACACTACCATCCACTACAGAGACACCAGCCACTACACTACCATCTACTACAGAGACACCAGCCACTACACTACCATCCACTACAGAGACACCAGCCACTACACTACCATCCACTACAGAGACACCAGCCACTACACTACCATCCACTACAGAGACACCAGCCACTACACTACCATCCATCTACAGAGACACCAGCCAATACACTACCATCCACTACAGAGACACCAGCCACTACACTACCATCCTCTACAGAGACACCAGCCACTACACTACCATCCACTACAGAGACACCAGCCAATACACTACCATCCACTACAGAGACACCAGCCACTACACTACCATCCTCTACAGAGACACCAGCCACTACACTACCATCCACTACAGAGACACCAGCCAATACACTACCATCCTCTACAGAGACACCAGCCAATACACTACCATCCACTACAGAGACACCAGCCAATACACTACCATCTACTACAGAGACACCAGTCTCTACACTACCATCCCCTACAGAGACACCAGCCACTACACTACCATCCACTACAGAGACACCAGCCACTACACTACCATCTACTACAGAGACACCAGCCACTACACTACCAGCCACTACAGAGACACCAGCCAATACACTACCATCCTCTACAGAGACACCAGCCAATACACTACCATCCTCTGCAGAGACACCAGCCACTACACTACCATCCACTACAGAGACACCAGCCAATACACTACCATCCTCTACAGAGACACCAGCCAATACACTACCATCCTCTACAGAGACACCAGCCAATACACTACCATCCACTACAGAGACACCAGCCACTACACTACCATCCTCTACAGAGACACCAGCCACTACACTACCAGCCACTACAGAGACACCAGCCACTACACTACCAGCCACTACAGAGACACCTGTCACTACACTACCATCCACTACAGAGACACCTGTCACTACACTACCATCCACTACAGAGACACCTGTCACTACACTACCATCCACTACAGAGACACCAGCCACTACACTACCAGCCACTACAGAGACACCAGCCAATACACTACCATCCTCTACAGAGACACCAGCCACTACACTTCCATCCACTACAGAGACACCAGCCTCTACACTACCATCCAGTACAGACACCAGCCACTACACTACCATCTTCTACAGAGACACCATCCACTACAGAGACACCAGCCACTACACTACCATCCACTACAGAGACACCAGCCACTACACTACCATGTACTACAGAGACACCAGCCTCTACACTACCATCCACTACAGAGACACCAGCCACTACACTACCAGCCACTACAGAGACACCTGTCACTACACTACCATCCTCTACAGAGACACCAGCCACTACACAACCATTCACTACAGAGACACCAGCCACTACACTACCATCTACTACAGAGACACCAGCCACTACACTACCATCCACTACAGAGACACCAGCCAATACACTACCATCCACTACAGAGACACCAGCCACTACACTACCATCCTCTACAGAGACACCAGCCACTACACTACCATCCACTACAGAGACACCAGCCAATACACTTCCATACTCTACAGAGACACCAGCCAATACACTACCATCTACTACAGAGACACCAGCCACTACACTACCATCTACTACAGAGACACCAGTCTCTACACTACCATCCCCTACAGAGACACCAGCCACTACACTACCATCCACTACAGAGACACCAGCCACTACACTACCATCTACTACAGAGACACCAGCCACTACACTACCAGCTACAGACACCAGCCAATACACTACCATCCTCTACACAGACACCAGCCAATACACTACCACTCTGCAGAGACACCAGCCACTACACTACCATCCACTACAGAGACACCAGCCAATACACTACCATCCTCTACAGAGACACCAGCCAATACACTACCATCCTCTGCAGAGACACCAGCCACTACACTACCATCCACTACAGAGACACCAGCCAATACACTACCATCCTCTACAGAGACACCAGCCAATACACTACCATCCTCTACAGAGACACCAGCCACTACACTACCATCCACTACAGAGACACCAGCCACTACACTACCATCCTCTACAGAGACACCAGCCACTACACTACCAGCCACTACAGAGACACCAGCCACTACACTACCAGCCACTACAGAGACACCTGTCACTACACTACCATCCACTACAGAGACACCTGTCACTACACTACCATCCACTACAGAGACACCTGTCACTACACTACCATCCACTACAGAGACACCAGCCACTACACTACCAGCCACTACAGAGACACCAGCCAATACACTACCATCCACTACAGAGACACCAGCCACTACACTTCCATCCACTACAGACACCAGCCTCTACACTACCATCCAGTACAGACACCAGCCACTACACTACCATCTTCTACAGAGACACCAGCCACTACACTACCATCCACTACAGAGACACCAGCCACTACACTACCATCCACTACAGAGACACCAGCCACTACACTACCATGTACTACAGAGACACCAGCCTCTACACTACCATCCACTACAGGACACCAGCCACTACACTACCAGCCACTACAGAGACACCTGTCACTACACTACCATCCACTACAGAGACACCAGCCACTACACAAACCATCTACTACAGAGACACAGCCACTACACTTTACCATCTACTACAGAGACACCAGCCAATACACTACACTCCACTATAGGAAACACCAGCCACTACCACTACCATCTACAGAGACACCAGCCACTACACTACCAGCCACTACAGAGACACCAGTCACTACACTACCATCTACTACAGAGACACCAGCCAATACACTACCATCCTCTACCACCGAGACACCAGCCAATACACTACCATCCACTACAGAGACACCAGCCACTATAACTACCATAGAGACACTACAGAGACACCAGCCAATACACTACCATCCTCTACAGAGACACCAGCCAATACACTACCATCCACTACAGAGACACCAGCCACTACACTACCATCCTCTACAGAGACACCAGCCACTACACTACCAGCCACTACAGAGACACCAGCCACTACACTACCAGCCACTACAGAGACACCTGTCACTACACTACCATCCACTACAGAGACACCTGTCACTACACTACCATCCACTACAGAGACACCTGTCACTACACTACCATCCACTACAGAGACACCAGCCACTACACTACCAGCCACTACAGAGACACCAGCCACTACACTACCATCTTCTACAGAGACACCAGCCACTACACTACCATCCACTACAGAGACACCAGCCACTACACTACCAGCCACTACAGAGACACCAGCCACTACACCATGTACATACCACCAGCCTCTACACTACCATCCAGACAGAGACACCAGCCACTACACTACCAGCCACTACAGAGACACCAGTCACTACACTACCATCCACTACAGAGACACCAGCCACTACACTACCATCCACTACAGAGACACCAGCCACTACACTACCATCTACTACAGAGACACCAGCCTCTACACTACCATCCACTACAGAGACACCAGCCACTACACTACCAGCCACTACAGAGACACCTGTCACTACACTACCATCCACTACAGAGACACCAGCCACTACACAACCATTCACTACAGAGACACCTGCCACTACACTACCATTCACTACAGAGACACCAGCCACTACACTACCATCCACTACAGAGACACCAGCCACTACAGTAGCATCTACTACAGAGACACCAGCCACTACACTACCATCTACTACAGAGACACCTGTCACTACAGTAGCATCCACTACAGAGACACCAGCCACTACACTACGATCCACGAGAACTATCACCTAACTGGCAGGTATAGAGCTATCACCTATCTGGCAGGTATAGAGCTATCACCTATCTGGCAGGTATAGAACTATCACCTATCTGGCAGGTATAGAGCTATCACCTATCTGGCAGGTATAGAGCTATCACCTATCTGGCAGGTATAGAACTATCACCTATCTGGCAGGTATAGAGCTATCACCTATCTGGCAGGTACAGAACTATCACCTATCTGGCAGGTATAGAACTATCACCTATCTGGACGGTATAGAACTATCACCTATCTGGCAGGTGAAGAACTATCACCTATCTGGCAGGTATAGAACTATCACCTATCTGGCAGGTATGGCAGGTATAGAGCTATCACCTATCTGGCAGGTATAGAGCTATCACCTATCTGGCAGGTATAGAGCTATCACCTATCTGGCAGGTATAGAACTATCACCTATCTGGCAGGTATAGAACTATCACCTATCTGGCAGGTATAGAACTATCACCTATCTGGCAGGTATAGAGCTATCACCTATCTGGCAGGTATAGAACTATCACCTATCTGGCAGGTATAGAACTATCACCTATCTGGCAGGTATAGAACTATCACCTATCTGGCAGGTATAGAACTATCACCTATCTGGCAGGTATAGAACTATCACCCATCTGTGGGCTGAGTGAGTGATGACACAGAGGGAGCTGGTTGTATCACTCCTGAAGCTGCTGCCTGAGACTGGTCTTGGGAATGTCACTAAACACATTTCACACACTGGGGCAAGAGCTGAGTGTTCAGGAACACCAACAAAACATTTCAACAAGACATTTCTTTGTCTACAAACCTGCTCTGGTACAGGTGCTGTGGTTGGTAACACGATCTGGTTTTGAACAGCTCCGACCCTGACTATCCGTGGAGGTCGGGTACTCTCTTCAGCCGCATCAAATGCATACCCCTGTAACTCGAAGTCCTTCTCCTCTGCCAGAGAGGCAGCAGCAGCAGGGATGTCAAGACTCCTGAAACAGGAAAATAGTCACTCAGTACACCTGCACTTTACAACAACCACCTGAAACAGGAAAATAGTCACTCAGTACACCTGCACTTTACAACAACCACCTGAAACAGGAAAATAGTCACTCAGTACACCTGCACTTTACAACAACCACCTGAAACAGGAAAATAGTCACCCAACTTTACAACAACCACCTGAAACAGGAAAATAGTCACCCAGTACACCTACTTTACAACTGCAGGAAAATAGTCACTCAACAACCACCTGAAACAGGAAAATAGTCACTCAGTACACCTGCACTTTACAACAACCACCTGAAACAGGAAAATAGTCACTCAGTACACCTGCACTTTACAACAACCACCTGAAACAGGAAAATAGTCACCTGCACCAGTACACCTGAAACAGGAAAATTTACAACAACCACCTGGAAACTGAAAGGGAAAATAGTCACTCAGTACACCTGCACTTTACAACAACCACCTGAAACAGGAAAATAGTCACCCAGTACACCTGCACTTTACAACAACCACCTGAAACAGGAAAATAGTCACTCAGTACACCTGCACTTTACAACAACCACCTGAAACAGGAAAATAACCAGGAAAATACCTGTACTTTACAACAACCACCTGAAACAGTACACCTGCACTTTACAACAACCACCTGAAACAGGAAAATAGTCACTCAGTACACCTGCACTTTACAACAACCACCTGAAACAGGAAAATAGTCACTCAGTACACCTGCACTTTACAACAACCACCTGAAACAGGAAAATAGTCACTCAGTACACCTGCACTTTACAACAACCACCTGAAACAGGAAAATAGTCACCCAGTACACCTGCACTTTTACAACAACCACCTGAAACAGGGAAAATAGTCACTCAGTACACCTGCACTTTACAACAACCACCTGAAACAGGAGAAAATAGCACTCTACACCTGCACTTTACAACAACCACCTGAAACAGGAAAATAGTCACTCAGTACACCTGCACTTTACAACAACCACCTGAAACAGGAAAATAGTCACTCAGTACACCTGCACTTTACAACAACCACCTGAAACAGGAAAATAGTCACTCAGTACACCTGCACTTTACAACAACCACCTGAAACAGGAAAATAGTCACTCAGTACACCTGCACTTTACAACAACCACCTGAAACAGGAAAATAGTCACCCAGTACACCTGCACTTTACAACAACCACCTGAAACAGGAAAATAGTCACTCAGTACACCTGCACTTTACAACAACCACCTGAAACAGGAAAATAGTCACTCAGTACACCTGTCACTCCAGTACAACAACCACAACAACCAACAGGAAAATAGTCACCTCAGTACACCAGTACAGTACAACACCCTGCACTTTACAACAACAACCACCTGAAACAGGAAAATAGTCACCCAGTACACCTGTACTTTACAACAACCACCTGAAACAGGAAAATAGTCACCCAGTACACCTGCACTTTACAACAACCACCTGAAACAGGAGAATAGTCACTCAGTACACCTGCACTTTACAACAACCACCTGAAACAGGAAAATAGTCACTCAGTACAACTGCACTTTACAACAACCATCTGAAACAGGAAAATAGTCACCAAGTACACCTGCATTTTAGAACCACCACCTGAAACAGGAAAATAGTCACTCAGTACACCTGAACTTTACAACAACCACCTGAAACAGGAAAATAGTCACTCAGTACACCTGCACTTTACAACAACCACCTGATACGTATGTTTATTAGTGTGCACCAAAAACGGATCAATCAGGCATTATCAAGTGGGTCAATCAGGTATTATCAAGCGGGTCAATCAGGTATTATCAAGCTGCTCAATCAGGTATTATCAAACAGGTCAATCAGGTATTATCAAGCTGCTCAATCAGGTATTATCAAGCCGGTCAATCAGGTATGATCAAGTGGATCAATCAGGTATTATCAAGCCGGTCAATCAGGTATTATCAAGTGGATCAATCAGGTATTATCAAGCGGGTCAATCAGGTGTGATCAAGCGGGTCAATCAGGTATGATCAAGCCGGTCAATCAGGTATTATCAAGCGGGTCAATCAGGTATTATCAAGTGGATCAATCAGGTATTATCAAGCGGGTCAATCAGGTATGATCAAGCAGGTCAATCAGGTATTATCAAGCGGGTCAATCAGGTATTATCAAGCGGGTCAATCAGGTATGATCAAACAGGTCAATCAGGTATGATCAAGCTGCTCAATCAGGTATTATCAAGCGGGTCAATCAGGTATTATCAAGCGGGTCAATCAGGTATGATCAAGCGGGTCAATCAGGTATGATCAAGCAGGTCAATCAGGTATGATCAAGCAGGTCAATCAGGTATGATCAAGCAGGTCAATCAGGTATGATCAAGCGGGTCAATCAGGTATTATCAAGCGGGTCAATCAGGTATTATCAAGCAGGTGAAACAGGTATTATCAAGTGGATCAATCAGGTATTATCAAGCGGGTCAATCAGGTATGATCAAGCGGGTCAATCAGGTATTATCAAGTGGATCAATCAGGTATTATCAAGCGGGTCAATCAGGTATGATCAAGCGGGTCAATCAGGTATGATCAAGCGGGTCAATCAGGCATTATCAAGCGGGTCAATCAGGTATGATCAAGCGGGTCAATCAGGTATTATCAAGCGGGTCAATCAGGTATGATCAAGCGGGTCAATCAGGTATGATCAAGCGGGTCAATCAGGTATTATCAAGCGGGTCAATCAGGTATGATCAAGCGGTTCAATCTTATTTATCCAGCAGATCAAGGATGTTATTAAAGTGCCTGGACCAACGTCCAGATCCAGTTGAGATCATTTCTTGGAATGATCTGGTATAATCCCAGAGTCATTGACAACTTGTAAGCCTGTTGAAAACCAGTGTGAAGTAAACATGGTCAGAAGAGGGTAACCATTCTTTGATGAAGCAAAACGTAGACTTATTTCTGCTGTTGTGCTGACACACGTTGATCTGAACAAACCAATCAAATAAGCATGTGATGCATTAATTACGGATTAGATGCCACAATTTCTCACATATGTGCTGCAGACTCTCAATTCAAATTGAGAAAGAGGCCTCAGCCTTAATATTTGTCATGAAAACATTCCACGAATACTTGTACGGACAACAGCTCATTCTTGTAACTGATCGTCATCTTGAATCCCACGAAATAAGTACCAACACTAGCAGTAGCAAGAATGCAACGATGTGTGCTAATCTCAGCTGCCAACACCTACGACATTGAGTTTCAGAAGTCTGAAGAACAGGCCAATACTGTTCTAATCTACCCACATGCTGTGGAAAATGTTGATGAATCTATGGAAAGTGAAGTGATGATGATTTCCCTGTAAATACTGGCAAAGTATGCAACGCTACACGAAAGGATCCAACACTGTCACGGATTCATGATTTCTCAGGAATGGCCTAGACAGGTTGAACCACCAGATGAAAAACATTTCTTTCTGAGGTGACATGAAGAACAGGTAGTGAAGGACAAGCAGTATAATACCTCCCATGTCAAGACAAAGAAAGTTGAATGAGCTGCATGCAAATGAAAGAACTGTCCCGAAGCTATCTATGGTGGCCATCTTTAGATAGTGAGAAAGTATGGTGAGAAAGTATATGCTCAAGCTGTATTACAACAACAAGTATGCCAAACACTGCCCCAGAACACGATGGACATTTTCAACGCCATGGAAACGTCTACATATGGACTTCCCAGAGTTCAATGGACAGAACATTTTTGTGAAGGTGGTTGCATTTTCAAAACATCCTGAGGTATACTCCATGAACTCCACGATAACGGCAAAGACGTTTGATGTTTTCCGACCTGGGTTAGCAACGCATGGCATTCTCCAGAAGTTAGTGTCATACAACGGGCCTCAGTTTGATTCTGAGGAAATGAAGAACTTTCTCATGAAGAATGGTGTTGTGCAGAAACCAAGTCCTCCACGTCACCCTCACATACAGCAGATGAACACCTAGTGCAATTCTTAAGGCAACATCTGAACACCTCAAATGCAACTGATCATCTCATCTGATACAGAAAGTTACTCACTCTGACAGGTAGAACACCTTGTGACCTACTGATGAAGAGACAAGTACACACTCGTCTAATACACTAGCCGACGGGAGAATGTAACTGATGTATAGCGACAGCTTTCAAGTGTTGCTGTGAGATAATTCAGAAGACCAGACGGATGTGATTGTGCAACTATTATGTAGAGATACGGTCCAGTGAGCATCATGGTTGACATCTATCCAAGCCATAGGCACATCTATTTTGTGCTCCTGAAAATGCTTATGTGCAAACCAGAATGCTGCCAAATCTAGTTTTGCAAGCAACAGTTACTATGAGAGTGATGCACCTAAACCTCTTGGTGGACAAGATCAAAGGGAACGACCTTATCCAACCAGGAACAGACCTGAAAGACTTGATTTGTGAACTTGACAATTAATGACAAAAAGACTGTAAAATGACTAAAAGAGTCAAACTAAACTAAACTTTCTCATTTTTTCCCCCTAGATTTCTGTTTTTCATAAAGTTCTTGATGATAATAAGTTAAACAAGTGTTTAAATGGATAAAGATTAATTTCACGGCAAAGGAGTGTTGTGCATTTCTTATCATGACAACCTCATATTTGATAAATTGCCATGTGATGTCACTGTGCACGCTCTCCAAATCACTGCACCATCATCACTGGACTGAAGTTAAGTTTATTCAAATATATAATCTTATCCATCCTTACGACCAAATACACCACTAGGGGTGAAACGGTATACCACGGTATTAGTAGAACCGCGGTATTTTGCCTTCGGTTCGGTATACCGTAATGCAATCCCAAATTTCTGTATTTTCGGTTTTCGTACCATCATTTATTAACCTTTTACAAAAAATTCTAAAATGTCTAGAAATCGAATCATTTTGTCAAAATCTATGCATTTCTTGGCCAGACAGATGGAAATAAGTTCTCATATACCGAACCGAAACAGACCGAACCGACGGCCTTGTACCGAAATACGTACCTTACCATGGTAAGAGTGTAGCGTTTCACCCCTATACACGACACATATACACTCATAGGTTGAAAGAAATTAAATATGCAACAGTGTTTGCCCAAGGCATAAAAAATTGATGAGTCATCATGACTCCCTGGTGTCATGAGAGGGAGTCATGGACATGTTTTTGGGAGTCAACTTCAGTTTGGAACTTTCATCAAGACATCAAATATGATTGTTTAATAACGACAAAAAGCAAGGCAAGGCAGGTTAGGTATTTAATCAACACTGGGCAGTTAACTCTCAAACATTAAACTAAGTAGTTTTAAACAACAGCAAATTACAAGGTTAGATTATCTGAACTAAGGGGGGCAGTAGCATTGCGTCAACAATGAAGCAAGCTTCTAAATTCACTGCGTATTTGAGATAATTTGTGCATCAAACAAGTGTTTAAATGGATAAAGTTTAATTTCACGGCAAAGGAGTGTTATGCATTTGTTGTCATGACAACCTTATATTTGATCAATTGCGTAATTGAGATAATCTGTGCATCAACTATGCAGGTTTTCTGTGTCATAGCAAACACTGATGCAACCATTATTGCACCAGGAATAAAACACCCTCGCATGTATCTTTATGTTCTTCCTTTAATACATACATTAGGTGAGGTGAAATGGGGTTTAATATATACATTAGGTGAGGTGAAATGGGGTTTAATATATAGATTAGGTGAGGTGAAATGGGGCTTAATATATACATTAGGTGAAGTGAAATGGGGTTTAATATATACATTAAGTGAGGTGAAATGGGGTTTAATATATACAATAGGTGAGGTGAAATGGGATTTAATATATATACATTAGGTGAGGTGAAATGGGGTTTAATGTCGTACTTAGAATATTTCGCTCATATGACGACGTGCATGCTTGTGTATGTGTATGTGCGGCTGCTTGCATTAGCCCAGACTTAAGCTGGTTTTATAGTGCTAGTCCACTGAGATACCATGCCGCAGTTAAGTATGAATACCCCATTCAGACACATTATACTGACTCCAAGCCGACCAGTCCTTGTCATACCCATTAATGTCAAGCTCCAGCCAGGGACCAACAAGTACCATATTTTAACGTCTTTTGGTATGACGCAGCCAGGGATCAAACCTGCGAGCTTCCGCTCTCCTGGTGGACGCTCTAACCACTAAACCACGGAGGCGGTCTAATATATACATTAAGAACATGTATGTATGCCTCCTCAGTGTATCACATCTCTGTAAGACTGGGCATTTTGTATGTGTGGAAAAGTCACATTTGATGTCAAGCAATCAGAGATCACAAGTGAAGTAATTTGACACTGACCCAAATAACAATAAGTATTAACAGAAATATAGCATTAATGATAAGATGATAACACTGGATAAGTCTCCAGGAACTGATTACAATGGTAGTCTGACAGGTGGCTCCATAAAAATATAACACTGGTCAAGCTTGACATTTGTTAATCATTTACATAGGTTAACTCCAGTATATGCACTTAAAACATGATGATATGAATGAATATTGCTGAGACTATCTTCCAACCTAGTACTGCCCTGTACTAATATCTGTAATAATCTGACACAGATACTCGGGCTGGGACTGGTCAGGTCAGGGGGTCATGAGTGCCCGGCCCTCGGTGGATGTCATATATGATATATATCTTAAAGCCAGGTTAAGACTACAAGACGCCAGTGTTCTAATTTCTCTCTGACAAAGCAAACATTGCTTCTGATCTTCATGTTTGAGGACAGATAAAGCTTCAGTCAACATCAGTGTATGCAAGACGAGGGAATTTAATACATGCATCTAAAATAATGAGTGTCAGAGTTCAGGTAAAACTGCTATGAGTGAGTGAGTGGTTTTACGCCACTTTTAGGGGGCGTGTTGGGCGAGATGTCTAAGACGCCAGGCTAGTAATCCAGTGAGCTTGAGGTGCCGGGATCGAACCCACCTGTGACTGGGTGTAAAAACCTTGGAGTCAACTTTGTGTGCAGAATCTTTCAGTGTTGTTACAACCCCAAGTGTACAGTACACAACCCTGTGCACTCAACCGAACCCACAAATGAATGGCCACATGAATACTTGCAAACACCTAGTTGCAGGGAAAGCAATGTGCAGTGAACTTGGACAAAGTACTGTGGCTATGTGTCCCAGTCCACCCAGCTGTGATTGGGTACCTTGTAAAGATGGAGAAGCCACAATAACTTTGTGCGCCTAGTGGCTGCAAGAGTTGTATGCTCCCCAGGGAGTTGAGATTGATAATACGAAGTGCCGTTGAGATTGACATCCTATGTTCGAGTGAAAAACAAAGCGCCTGTGAGCAGCCGAGCTGGAACTCGGTGCTATATAAATAGGTTATAATAATATATATAATGTACATTTTAGCCAGCCATATTCCAGCAATATCACGGCTCGGGACACCAGAAATGAGCTTCACACATTGTACCCATGTGGTGAATTGAACCCAGACTAACGAACACATTAACCATAAGGCTACCCCACCGCCCGGGACCCTGCTATGGAAGGTCCACTGACATTATCAGAAGAAGTATTCTAAAGGTGCTCCAAACAATTCAGTTCAGCATATCTAGCTGTGATTCTGAGACAGACCTCACCATTGACCACCATACCTGTGAACAGCACAGGGGTTATGTATGATACTGTATGATACTGTAGGCTTGTATAGCAGGCCAATCCTTCACTTAGGAAACAGCTAAATGTTTAAGAATAGTATCCATTAACAAAAGCTGAAGTGATGCTTTAACTAGCCCTGGTAATTTCAGTAAAAGTTAAACCAGAGACCATATAATTTCTATTATATGGTCTCTGGTTAAACACACCCGAACTGGAGAATTTTTTGAGTAAACACAGTAGAAAAACAGTGACCCTAAACTCACACAATGACCTTTAAAATGAACATCAACATATTGATTTTACATGCACAGTGAATGTTAGATGTTAATAGTGTAGTTATCAGATGGCAACATGTGCTAATGTTTTGAACATCCCAATATGGGATTTCAGAATAGAAACGTTGTCATAAAGCACCTTTGTTGATTAGAAATAACAGTTCACATGTAAAATGGACTTAATCCACACTTGGTGGGTAAAACTGTTAAAGTAGTAAATAGTGTAGTTTCAGGAGGTACAAAAAAGGTTTGAACTTGTTTCAAGAGTGTTCTATTTTCATTTCTGTGGGCGTATTTTCACTGACTATTTACAAGAACAATGTAACCAACAAAACAAAACAAACATAACACATCTCTACTTGAATTGGATCAGTTCAGTCATATTTTAATTTTTTTTTAAACATCTCTAAACTTTCCATGAGAGTGAACACGTTTCTAAACAAAGAAGATACATGGTACTCGAATACACCATTGACATATAACACGAATTACTTATTGTCTTCGACAAAATGTTTATTGCTTAACGTCAACAGGTTTAGATCAGTGTATTGGAAAGATTACCTTAATTGCCTTCCATATAGAAGTCGCTTTACTTCTGACAACTCTGCTGGCGGTAAATATTTGTCAAGCAACTTTTCCACATTTTCCGTTTCAGCTGACATGTTGGCAGTTCAGTAGTGGACGAGTTTACGTTGTCGTAGGGGGTTGGATGGGGGTATGGGCTTGCTATTTTAAAATCACGAAATTCTAAGAAGTTTAACTCGGAGTTAATTATTCAACAATAAATGTTTGTAGATTACCCTACATATATGTCTCAACATACGTCGTAGGATTCAAATATCTTTTGACTTAAAACCCACCCATCCCTTTGGAACACTGCATTGTATTGTCCCAGATCTAGGTCAGCCTGTTATTTGTTTGATAAGCGTATCGAAACCGCCACATAGACTTGTAAATGGGTTAGTTAATTCCATTCTGTAATGTTGTGACATGTTCAGCCATGTACATCTTGACCAACAATAATTTTGCGAGGGACAATTACTATGATCATAATGTTTAGCATACTTTCATGATTTTTATCAAGTTTTTATGAGACATTCTTCCATATCACCATATACAATCATTTTTGTGCATTTTGGATTGCTGTCTGTTAGAGCTTCCTTATTTGAATCCATAGCCTCCCTGCTGTAGCCCAGTGGGCCCATTTCTGGTGTCCCCTGCCCAGATGTTGCTGGATTATTGCTAACTCACTCACTCATCACTGGGCTTCACCCCAGACCAGACTGCTGTGACATGCCAACCATTTGCTCTGTGCATCTCATCATACATATGTTCCATGACTAAGTGGACAGTTCCTGATTGTACCCCTGTGGCTGGTAATATTGTTCATAGCATCAACCATTTGGTTTCCTGGGATCCATTCAACCAAGCAGTCTTAGCGCTAAGATGTAACTGCCATAGATACTTAGTTTACTTAGGGACCTGTAATAATTTATGGCTAGGGGGGTGATGATAATATTTAAAGGGGAGGTAGGGGCCATCAACTTTGTACAGGAATACTGGGGGTGGGGGTGTCCATTGATTTGGTACATGACAGGCTGGTGGGGGGGCACTTAATCATAATTTTAAATTTTTGGGGGCAACATTCATATTGCACATGCTTCTCTATAAAAATCAACATCACCCCATCAGTATACTTGGTTCTTACAACGATGTAAACTTTATTACATGGAAATACCTGTACTAAGCAGTAGGATTCAATACATTCATATAACACATTACTTGCATTATTCATATAACACATTACTTGCATTATTTAAATTTTGACCTTGTATTTTCTCTACACTTAAATTCTGTTGAAATGAATGTTGGGCTGGGTAAGCTTCCCTCAGAAGTTTCCATTTTGTCTTAGATTTAAACTCTTCAAGAGACTTCTTAAATCCCAACCCCTTGAAAGCAACTGTGCCTGCTCTTTTGCCTGTGAAGTAATATTTCCATTCACAAATATTCAATATGAAAAAAGGTAATATCATCACGGTTGATGATTTTGGACAAAATCAATGATCTCATCTGTCAACATATTTCTGTGTTGGGCAATACATCTAAGATGACAAAAACCTGGTTTCACACAGAGTGTTTACATATATTTCTGTAGTCATGTTCAGGCCCACCTTCTTCACAGTCACGGAAATGATTATTTGAGTGTCACCAGTGCCATTTCTGGTAGCTAATTAGGGAAAGGTCACCAAACAGTTTGTCTCTAGGGGAGTGTCACAAAAACACATAGACTTACCATACATATTGAGGAGAATCCCCTACATCCACCCCTCCCCACCCCTGCCACCACTGACCCTTGTATGAGTGACTGCATTGCTTAGGGAGGCTGTGTGTATGATAAATCTGATTAGGGCATGCTGTACTTAGGAATGGTACCCGTAAGACTGCTGCACTGGCAGACTGGTTTCTGAACTTTCTACACTTGCATTGTATGGATTGCTTTGTGGGGATTACAATATGTTGACAAGCCACAGCCACAAATAAACCAGAAAATACAATTAAGATTGTTTTAATGTAATTTAACCACTTTTATTTCAGATGACTTGGGGACGTGGTGTCGGCTGTAGGTCAGCAGCTCTTGGGGGAGGTTGAACGAGTGTATGCTGCACATGGCAGACGTAGGTCCAACTGGAGGTGGTTCTTTGATAGGCGATTCTTCAAACAGCTGGAGCACTTTGTACAGAGCAGTAAAATATAAAAATTAATTAGTTTCCAACATGTTCATAGCATGTGGTAGCATGTTCACCTTATCTACTATATTTGCTGTAATTACCTTGTTAGGCAGTTGGCAGAGAGATGGCCTTATATGACCAGATGGGACAAGTTAAATTTGTGTTTAAAACTCCAGTGTTAGTGAACAAACTACAATGTTTGTGATGATTGTGACCTAAAGTGATATATGATTATACTCCTTATACACTGGTGTTGTGTGTAACTCAAAAAGTCTAATATACTGAATCTAGTATCAATGTTCAATCCGAGTAGGAGATGCTTACAAGGGTTTCTTCCGGATGGGTCCAGAAGTCCAGTAAATATATATAGACACCCAGATCCAGAAACTAAAAGAATGATAACTCACTGAAGTGAGGAGCTTTGTAATGAATATTGTCCAGGACGGTTCGCAGCTTTGTCTAGAGATTGTTGTAATGCAAGTGGTAGGTGTGGAGGGAACTTGTATAATTCTACAATTATTTCAGCAATTAAGCTAGCATTGTTTTCCTTTTCTGTTTCCAGTTACAGACGAGATTTTGTCATCGTAAGTATATTCATTTATTCATGGTTGCATCATCTGCTGTTTAAGCTGTACTAATATCGCCAATGGAATGGAAAACCCTCATCAGGAACATACAGGAATTAGTATAAAACAAATTTGACAAGCATTGTTTTTGAAGTGATGGATGAAATTTCCACACACCAGATTTCCCAGTCTAAGTAAACTTAGGTTCAGTATTATTCGTTACACTGCTATACTGAGTCTAACAAATCCTAGTAGAAGGTCACATCAGCTAACCTTTGAGCGACCTATGACCGTCCAATCAAACGCGAGAAGGCCGAATGGATTTAACCAATCAGACAACGACTACTTGATAGGATTCGGATGGACTTACAAAATGTTTTTTTGATTTTCTCTTCCATGGTCGCTGACACTGATCTATCTACATTCAAAAATCTGCATAAAACACAGATATTTTACCTGCAGTATATACGCTTATGGGTTTCTAATGACATGGTTACTATTTGCTTATATTTTCGCATCCTTGAGTAATGACAAAAACGCTATTTTCAGCGACTGTTTACTCATTGCGTGTATCACTCGTAAGCGATCGTGCAGAAAATAGCATTCGGAATCGTTCAAGTTTTTGAGGTGTAACGAATAATACTGAGCCTAAGTTTACTTAGACTGCAGATTTCCTGGAATTTAATACTATAGCTCTAAGACGCAACACAATGCAAACTTGATGTCCATCAATAATTCTGTTTGTCAAGAAACTCATTGGTATTATGAAATATATCAAAATTCTTTATCTCTTCTTCATTTGTCAAAACAGTGAAGTAATTGAGTATGTCATCACTCCTATCTGTTACGGGGATGTCATCACTCCTATCTGTTGGGGTAGCCTAATGGTTAAAGCGTTGGCTCGTCCCGCCGAAGACCTGGGTTCAAATTCCCACATGGGTACAATGTGTGAAGCCCATTTCTGGTGTCCCCCGCCGTGATGTTGCAGGAATATTGCTAAAAGCGGCGTAAAACCAAACTCAGTCAGTCAGTCAGCCTATCTGTTACTGTAATGTAAGTTGTGAAGTGTGATGTTCTAATGTTAAACAAAACCGATAATGTCCCGTTGACTTCAATAGCAATGTTATATTGTATAATTATCTCAGCCCTCAACAGATATTACATGTAAATGTGTGCACAGCACCTTTTCCAAGTACAGGAAGCGAAACAGTCCAACCCCGGGTCCTCACAAAGTATCTGTTGTTACAGTCAGCATACGTCGTAACATTAAAAAACACAGTTTTAAGTACTGGGTGGATGTACATTTGAAGAATACAAGAAATCTTACCCCAAATCATCCAATCACCACTGAAGATTCAGTCTGACCTGAGTCTTCCTTACAAAAACTCCTTGTTAATCAACTGATTCTGATTTGTGTTATGGAACCATAACAGCCATTTTAAGTATGTCCTCCCTTTCAGGCTGCAGTTTGTGTTCCAAGGTCCATTATTGCCTGCACTTGATCTTGTAGACAGGAAGGCTGTCAGCATTGTTACATCACCCTCAGGGAGGTCGCTGTACCAGGTCAGTTCTCCTGCGCGATGTGCAAACGTTTCTTTTGGACAGAACTCAGTCATGTAATGCCGGATTAATGGCGTCTCCAGCTAACTCCAGCTAACTGTGGACAGGACGTTGTGGACAAGAATATCTATAGTGTCCTTTGCCTTTAATCAATTAAATCCATCCTCAACAACCTCGTCTTGAGTCCATCCATGACATTCTCAATTAGCTTCTCTCCATGACATCCTACCTGTGCTTCCTCCCTATGCATCCACATCTACTAACGACTGGTGAAGATCTGGGTTAGAATTGGTCTTCAGTAACCCATGTTTGTAGTAGGAGGCGACTAACGGGATTGGGTGGTCTTGGTTGACACATGTCATCGTATCCCAATTGCGTAGATTGATCACTGGTTTGTCTTGTCCAGACTCATTATTTACAGACCGCCACCATATAGTGCAGCATTAAACAATAAACCAACCAACCAGCCAATATCTACAAACACTAGACGTCTTAATCTGCTGGTAAGATATTTCTTGCACTCACAAGAATCTGTCTTTTTGTTGTATCCAGGTGATTGGGAGTTCCGGCACACCTTACACTTGCTTTACATCCAGCACATACTGCTGCTGTCCGTCCTACAGGTTCTCAGGTGAGTGGACTTGTTTTGTAGGTGTCCAGCAAACTGTCCAGGGCTACTCACAGAAGGATGGATCATGGCTTACGTGAATACCAGTGGTCTCCACACGCAGACAACATACTACGTATCTTAGGGAACGATGACTGAGATCCTGTATAAACTGAAGGGAGAGGCTACCAGGTGTTGATGTGAGGAAGTCATGTATACATATGTATGCCATATCACACGTCAAGCATCATACAGCAGCATGCTCACAGATACACTCACCTTCATACACAACTTGTTGGAGCCCATGAAACTGGAGCTTGGTTGGTGACTACTGTCAATAATCAGCATCCAAACTGCAGGATTTCTTTGTCCTGCATGCAGGTTTTTTCCGTCATACGAGCATCTTTTCCTTTTTATTGTAACATATACTCTACAGTATATTGTATTACATTGCATGCAGGACAAGCAGCATGTACAGACTGTATGGCTGATATATGATCCATGTTTACAGTGCCGTGTTAAGGTGAAACATATCATCTCAGACAGGCTATGTGAACATCTGCCTGACTGTCGTTCTTCAACAGGCTTGGACTGCAGATCTATCCCAGTCCTTCCAATGTTCAAGTCATACATAGAGAATAAGCTCTGAAGAATTACTGATTCTAACATGCATGCAGATTGCTAACAAGTTCGTAAGGATGGGAAAGCCAATAACTTGGTGCTCCTAGTGGATGCAAGAGTTTGCAATATTGATAATATAATGTACCATTGAGATTGACATCCATTGTCTTTGATCAAGAGAAAACAAACAGCACCTTGAGCATGTACTAGTTGCAAGGATATGTGCACTATGTAAATATCCTATAATAACAACATGTACATTTAGATGAGTGTCACAGTCACCTTTGAACGAAACTGTACTAATGTGTAGTATCTGTGACACAGTTACTGGCCAAATGGTGTCAGCCACACCAGAAACATGGATCTTTACGCCGGGACATGTGAACACTGGAGCCATCTGCTGGAGCCAACAACTGCAGCCTCCACATGCAGTTATCTTTCTGATGTTGGAGGTTTCATGTCTCATATACTTCCTATATACATACCCCTGAGGAATGTTTCTGATGTTGGAGGTTTCATGTCTCATATACTTCCTATATACATACCCCTGAGGAATGTTTCTGATGTTGGAGGTTTCATGTCTCATATACTTCCTATATACATACCCCTGAGGAATGTTTCTGATGTTGGAGGTTTCGTGTCTCATATACTCCTTATATACATACCCCTGAGGAATGTTTCTGATGTTGGAGGTTTCATGTCTCATATACTTCCCTATATACATACCCCTGAGGAATGTTTCTGATGTTGGAGGTTTCATGTCTCATATACACTTCCTATATACATACCCCTGAGGAATGTTTCTGATGTTGGAGGTTTCATGTCTCATATACTTCCTATATACATACCCCTGAGGAATGTTTCTGATGTTGGAGGTTTCATGTCTCATATACTTCCTATATACATACCCCTGAGGAATGTTTCTGATGTTGGAGGTTTCATGTCTCATGTCTCATGTATACTTCCTATATACATACCCCTGAGGAATGTTTCTGATGTTGGAGGTTTCATGTCTCATATACTTCCTATATACATACCCCTGAGGAATGTTTCTGATGTTGGAGGTTTCATGTCTCATATACTTCCTATATACATACCCCTGAGGAATGTTTCTGATGTTGGAGGTTTCCATGTCTCATATACTTCCTATATACATACCCCTGAGGAATGTTTCTGATGTTGGAGGTTTCATGTCTCATATACTTCCTATATACATACCCCTGAGGAATGTTTCTGATGTTGGAGGTTTCATGTCTCATATACTTCCTATATACATACCCCTGAGGAATGTTTCTGATGTTGGAGGTTTCATGTCTCATATACTTCCTATATACATACCCCTGAGGAATGTTTCTGATGTTGGAGGTTTCATGTCTCATATACTTCCTATATACATACCCCTGAGGAATGTTTCTGATGTTGGAGGTTTCATGTCTCATATACTTCCTATATATACATACCCCTGAGGAATGTTTCTGATGTTGGAGGTTTCATGTCTCATATACTTCCTATATACATACCCCTGAGGAATGTTTCTGATGTTGGAGGTTTCATGTCTCATATACTTTCTTATATACATACCCCTGAGGAATGTTTCTGATGTTGGAGGTTTCATGTCTCATATACTTCCTATATACATACCCCTGAGGAATGTTTCTGATGTTGGAGGTTTCATGTCTCATATACTTCCTATATACATACCCCTGAGGAATGTTTCTGATGTTGGAGGTTTCATGTCTCATATACTTCCTATATACATACCCCTGAGGAATGTTTCTGATGTTGGAGGTTTCATGTCTCATATACTTCCTATATACATACCCCTGAGGAATGTTTCTGATGTTGGAGGTTTCATGTCTCATATACTTCCTATATACATACCCCTGAGGAATGTTTCTGATGTTGGAGGTTTCATGTCTCATATACTTCCTATATACATACCCCTGAGGAATGTTTCTGATGTGGGAGGTTTCATGTCTCATATACTTCCTATATACATACCCCTGAGGAATGTTTCTGATGTTGGAGGTTTCATGTCTCATATACTTCTTATATATACATACCCCTGAGGAATGTTTCTGATGTGGGAGGTTTCATGTCTCATATACTTCCTATATACATACCCCTGAGGAATGTTTCTGATGTTGGAGGTTTCATGTCTCATATACTTCCTATATACATACCCCTGAGGAATGTTTCTGATGTTGGAGGTTTTCATGTCTCATATACTTCCTATATACATACCCCTGAGGAATGTTTCTGATGTTGGAGGTTTCATGTCTCATATACTTCCTATATACATACCCCTGAGGAATGTTTCTGATGTTGGAGGTTTCATGTCTCATATACTTCCTATATACATACCCCTGAGGAATGTTTCTGATGTTGGAGGTTTCATGTCTCATATACTTCCTATATACATACCCCTGAGGAATGTTTCTGATGTTGGAGGTTTCATGTCTCATATACTTCCTATATACATACCCCTGAGGAATGTTTCTGATGTTGGAGGTGTCTCATGTCTCATATACATACCCCTTCCTATATACATACCCCTGACCCCTGAGGGAATGTTTCTGATGTGGGAGGTTTCATGTCTCATATACTTCCTATATACATACCCCTGAGGAATGTTTCTGATGTTGGAGGTTTCATGTCTCATATACTTCCTATATACATACCCCTGAGGAATGTTTCTGATGTTGGAGGTTTCATGTCTCATATACTTCCTATATACATACCCTGAGGAATGTTTCTGATGTGGGAGGTTTCATGTCTCATATACTTCCTATATACATACCCCTGAGGAATGTTTCTGATGTGGGAGGTTTCATGTCTCATATACTTCCTATATACATACCCCTGAGGAATGTTTCTGATGTGGGAGGTTTCATGTCTCATATACTTCCTATATACATACCCCTGAGGAATGTTTCTGATGTTGGAGGTTTCATGTCTCATATACTTCCTATATACATACCCTGAGGAATGTTTCTGATGTTGGAGGTTTCATGTCTCATATACTTCCTATATACATACCCCTGAGGAATGTTTCTGATGTTGGAGGTTTCATGTCTCATATACTTCCTATATACATACCCCTGAGGAATGTTTCTGATGTTGGAGGTTTCATGTCTCATATACTTCTTATATACATACCCCTGAGGAATGTTTCTGATGTTGGAGGTTTCATGTCTCATATACTTCCTATATACATACCCCTGAGGAATGTTTCTGATGTTGGAGGTTTCATGTCTCATATACTTCCTATATACATACCCCTGAGGAATGTTTCTGATGTTGGAGGTTTCATGTCTCATATACTTCCTATATACATACCCCTGAGGAATGTTTCTGATGTTGGAGGTTTCATGTCTCATATACTTCCTATATACATACCCCTGAGGAATGTTTCTGATGTTGGAGGTTTCATGTCTCATATACTTCTTATATACATACCCCTGAGGAATGTTTCTGATGTTGGAGGTTTCATGTCTCATATACTTCCTATATACATACCCCTGAGGAATGTTTCTGATGTTGGAGGTTTCATGTCTCATATACTTCCTATATATACATACCCCTGAGGAATGTTTCTGATGTTGGAGGTTTCATGTCTCATATACTCTCTTATATACATACCCCTGAGGAATGTTTCTGATGTTGGAGGTTTCATGTCTCATATACTTCCTATATACATACCCCTGAGGAATGTTTCTGATGTTGGAGGTTTCATGTCTCATATACTTCTTATATACATACCCCTGAGGAATGTTTCTGATGTTGGAGGTTTCATGTCTCATATACTTCCTATATACATACCCCTGAGGAATGTTTCTGATGTTGGAGGTTTCATGTCTCATATACTTCCTATATACATACCCCTGAGGAATGTTTCTGATGTTGGAGGTTTCATGTCTCATATACTTCCTATATACATACCCCTGAGGAATGTTTCTGATGTTGGAGGTTTCATGTCTCATATACTTCTTATATACATACCCCTGAGGAATGTTTCTGATGTTGGAGGTTTCATGTCTCATATACTTCCTATATACATACCCCTGAGGAATGTTTCTGATGTTGGAGGTTTCATGTCTCATATACTTTTATATACATACCCCTGAGGAATGTTTCTGATGTTGGAGGGTTTCATGTCTCATATACTTCTTATATACATACCCTGAGGAATGTTTCTGATGTTGGAGGTTTCATGTCTCATATACTTCTTATATACATACCCCTGAGGAATGTTTCTGATGTTGGAGGTTTCATGTCTCATATACTCCTATATACATACCCCTGAGGAATGTTTCTGATGTTGGAGGTTTCATGTCTCATATACTTCCTATATACATACCCCTGAGGAATGTTTCTGATGTTGGAGGTTTCATGTCTCATATACTTCCTATATACATACCCCTGAGGAATGTTTCTGATGTTGGAGGTTTCATGTCTCATATACTTCCTATATACATACCCCCTGAGGAATGTTTCTGATGTTGGAGGTTTCATGTCTCATATACTCCTATATACATACCCCTGAGGAATGTTTCTGATGTTGGAGGTTTCATGTCTCATATACTTCCTATATACATACCCCTGAGGAATGTTTCTGATGTTGGAGGTTTCATGTCTCATATACTTCCTATATACATACCCCTGAGGAATGTTTCTGATGTTGGAGGTTTCATGTCTCATATACTTCCTATATACATACCCCTGAGGAATGTTTCTGATGTTGGAGGTTTCATGTCTCATATACTTCTTATATACATACCCCTGAGGAATGTTTCTGATGTTGGAGGTTTCATGTCTCATATACTTCCTATATACATACCCCTGAGGAATGTTTCTGATGTTGGAGGTTTCATGTCTCATATACTTCCTATATACATACCCCTGAGGAATGTTTCTGATGTTGGAGGTTTCATGTCTCATATACTTCCTATATACATACCCCTGAGGAGTGTTTCTGATGTTGGGGGTTTCATGTCTCATATACTTCCTATATACATACCCCTGAGGAATGTTTCTGATGTTGGAGGTTTCATGTCTCATATACTTCCTATATACATACCCCTGAGGAATGTTTCTGATGTTGGAGGTTTCATGTCTCATATACTACCTATATACATACCCCTGAGGAATGTTTCTGATGTTGGAGGTTTCATGTCTCATATACTTCCTATATACATACCCCTGAGGAATGTTTCTGATGTTGGAGGTTTCATGTCTCATATACTTCCTATATACATACCCCTGAGGAATGTTTCTGATGTTGGAGGTTTCATGTCTCATATACTTCCTATATACATACCCCTGAGGAATCTGTCTAATGTTGGAGGTTTCATGTCTCATATACTTCCTATATACATACCCCTGAGGAATGTTTCTGATGTGGGAGGTTTCATGTCTCATATACTTCCTATATACATACCCCTGAGGAATGTTTCTGATGTTGGAGGTTTCATGTCTCATATACTTCCTATATATATACCCCTGAGGAATCTTTCTGATGTGGGAGGTTTCATGTCTCATATACTTCCTATATACATACCCCTGAGGAATGTTTCTGATGTTGGAGGTTTCATGTCTCATATACTTCTTATATACATACCCCTGAGGAATCTTTCTGCCATATAACTTGATGATATTGAGGTCAGCGCCATTTGGTACCTTGAGATGTGATAACTGGACTGATGACAATAAGTAGTGTGATCTCTCAGGTGAAGTCTCGGGTGCAGACACCTTCAGAGGATTTCCATGGTGAAGATCACGAGGGAACATATCATGAAACAGTTGTTATATCTCACAATTCCATATTGTTTCAAGATTAAAAAGTGTATTAATCTATCCAGCTTTGGGGCGAGGATGTTGTCTCGGTGGTACTGTCAAGTGACTGTTACAATGACAATATGTGATGTCCTCCTGCCAGTCATTTATCACAGTACATGTTCAAGACAAATTTGGCCACTAAGCCATGTTACTTTTGACTATCACATATTGCATACAATCAGAGAAGTGTTGAATAACTTTAACTTTTATGAGACAAAAATATATCAGAAGTAGAATTACTGCAATGAAGGAGATGATGGTAAACAGCTAAAACGATTTCATGTATGAAGTATGGAGACAATATTTTGTAAACTTGGAAGCATTTCAAATGGTAGGTTGAGGGAAGTATTTTAAATTATCTGCCCCTGGTCACTGAGCCTTTGATCTTGTCAGGTACTCAACCGTCCATATACACGATTCGGACAGAATAGGTACATTGGTTATCTCTAAATTACCTCTGGTATGAATATGAGGAGAAGAATAGTGACAGCAATAAATATATTTATATATAATCTGATGGTTACATCGTGGCTTGGCACCCTTGTTATATGTGTTCGTCCACAAGATTGGTTGTTAGCTTAAAGGTCACATGCAATGTAAAACACAACTTTGCAGATTCTGATACCTTTCGGTATTGACTTACCGAAACAAATCATCAAAAATGCAAATTCAACTTATAAAGTTGAAAAATAATGCGATGAAAAAAGCCGCGCGAAATCGGAGTTCAAACTATTCACAAATTTTCCCCCAGCGCTTCGGGGGAAAAGTGGTTTCAACAGCTGGCTGCGCTTGTGCTGGGCCATAGCCATAGCACATGCTCAGTGAAATAGGTTCGCGCAGCTTGGAAGCGGGAGTTGTCTGGTGAATACTCGGTGAAGGCTTTGGTGTGAGCTATTTTTCTAATGTTTTGTTGATATTTCACAGGCACAAGCTTTTTATATGTTATGACAGTAGATTATCGATTTAACTGTTTATATAATTTGTATATTTCACCACACGTTCTTCTTACCGAGTCACTTTCTCAGTTCAATACTTAAAAGCAATGTCATTATTTAGCGTCGACAGAATTTCTAACTGTGATATAGATATGTTCGTTGTCACAGACAAAACTCAATGTCTGTTTTATTGACATCTATGTGTCTGCCTGCCTGTCTGCTAATGACAATATTCAATGTGCGTGCGTAAGGCAAGGTGGCGGCGTATGGCTAAGGCATGCGAGCGCTTCATTTTCACTGGTCATTTAATAAACTTTCAGAACATAAGGGGAGGTGTCCACCCCAAGCCCCTCTGGATCCGCCTGTGAATGCTATTTTCCTTTGTTTCAGTCCTTCTGAAAGAAGATCATATGATGGTAAGACTTTTTGTCCCAGTTTGAACTAGCTTATACACAGTAGAAGGTGGTAACACCGATCTGGACACATCCATTAGATAAACCACTCACCTCAATATCATGGCTGTTTGACGAGGAGATCCAAGTATGTTGACATGATTATCAGACAAATTGTAATGTGTCTGTGATGACATCGATGTCATGACTTTGAACAATATGTATTTGGTCCTTATTTACTGTTACAGTGTAAACATCTGTTGGCCATTCTTCTGAGTAAAAGGATGGGCTTGATTCAGACAGCAGGTGTCACTGATCAAGAGCTGTCTGCAATGATTGTACAAATGGACTTGAGCTGATGCAGCAGAACTGCAGCTGTGTGAACACTCATCTCCACAGAATGACGTACAATTAATTGACTTGTGTTGATGCTGCTGTCATGATAGTGTTAAAATGATAAAAACTGATGCATTTAAGTTGATGCAGAACATGTGGCAGTGTTCAACAGATGGACTTGAGGTGATGGAGAATGTGACAGTGTTCAACAGATGGACTTGAGGTGATGGAGAATGTGACAGTGTTCAACAGATGGACTTGAGGTGATGGAGAATGTGACAGTGTTCAACAGATGGACTTGAGGTGATGGAGAATGTGACAGTGTTCAACAGATGGACTTGAGGTGATGGAGAATGTGACAGTGTTCAACAGATGGACTTGAGTTGATGGAAAACATGTGACAGTGTTCAACAGATGGACTTGAGGTGATGGAGAATGTGACAGTGTTCAACAGATGGACTTGAGTTGATGGAGAATGTGACAGTGTTCAACAGATGGACTTGAGGTGATGGAGAATGTGACAGTGTTCAACAGATGGACTTGAGGTGATGGAGAATGTGACAGTGTTCAACAGATGGACTTGAGTTGATGGAGAATGTGACAGTGTTCAACAGATGGACTTGAGTTGATGGAGAATGTGACAGTGTTCAACAGATGGACTTGAGTTGATGGAGAATGTGACAGTGTTCAACAGATGGACTTGAGGTGATGGAGAATGTGACAGTGTTCAACAGATGGACTTGAGTTGATGGAGAATGTGGCAGTGTTCAACAGATGGACTTGAGGTGATGGAAAATGTGACAGTGTTCGACAGATGGACTTGAGGTGATGGAGAATGTGACAGTGCTCAACAGATGGACTTGAGGTGATGGAGAATGTGACAGTGTTCAACAGATGGACTTGAGTTGATGGAAAACACGTGACAGTGTTCAACAGATGAACTTGAGGTGATGGAAAACATGTGACAGTGTTCAACAGATGGACTTGAGGTGATGGAGAATGTGACAGTGTTCAACAGATGGACTTGAGGTGATGGAGAATGTGACAGTGTTCAACAGATGGACTTGAGTTGATAGAGAATGTGACAGTGTTCAACAGATGGACTTGAGGTGATGGAGAATGTGACAGTGTTCAACAGATGGACTTGAGGTGATGGAGAATGTGACAGTGTTCAACAGATGGACTTGAGGTGATGGAGAATGTGACAGTGTTCAACAGATGGACTTGAGTTGATGGAGAATGTGACAGTGTTCAACAGATGGACTTGAGTTGATGGAGAATGTGGCAGAGTTCAACAGATGGACTTGAGGTGATGGAAAATGTGACAGTGTTCAACAGATGGACTTGAGGTGATGGAGAATGTGACAGTGTTCAACAGATGGACTTGAGGTGATGGAGAATGTGACAGTGTTCAACAGATGGACTTGAGTTGATGGAGAATGTGACAGTGTTCAACAGATGGACTTGAGGTGATGGGAATGTGACAGTGTTCAACAGATGGACTTGAGGTGATGGAGAAATGTGACAGTGTTCAACAGATGGACTTGAGGTGATGGAGAATGTGACAGTGTTCAACAGATGGACTTGAGTTGATGGAGAATGTGACAGTGTTCAACAGATGGACTTGAGTTGATGGAGAACATGTGGCAGTGTTCAACAGATGGACTTGAGGTGGTGGAAAATGTGACAGTGTTCAACAGATGGACTTGAGGTGATGGAGAATGTGACAGTGTTCAACAGATGGACTTGAGTTGATGGAGAATGTGACAGTGTTCAACAGATGGACTTGAGTTGATGGAGAATGTGGCAGAGTTCAACAGATGGACTTGAGGTGATGGAAAATGTGACAGTGTTCAACAGATAGACTTGAGGTGATGGAGAATGTGACAGTGTTCAACAGATGGACTTGAGGTGATGGAGAATGTGACAGTGTTCAACAGATGGACTTGAGTTGATGGAAAACATGTGACAGTGTTCAACAGATGGACTTGAGGTGATGGAGAATGTGGCAGTGTTCAACAGATGGACTTGAGGTGATGGAAAATGTGACAGTGTTCAACAGATGGACTTGAGGTGATGGAAAATGTGACAGTGTTCAACAGATGTACTTGAATTGATGGAGAACATGTGACAGCGTCAACAGATGGACTTGAGCCGACTTGAGGTGATGGAGAATGTGACAGTGTTCAACAGATGGACTTAGTTGATGGAGAACATGTGACAGTGTTCAACAGATGGACTTGATGCAGAACCTGTGATGGTTAAAATTGATGGACATGAGTTAAACCTATGGAATCAGATGGATGCTTATTTGGTTACCTGCATTGAGCTGATACAGCACAGTTGGTGAAAAGACTTGATGATTTTGCTGTTTTTTTATTGCACATTATATTGCCAGAAATGCTTGGAAAATGCTTTTTGGCTTCAATATCAATGTGATGAATTTGACACAAGATAAAAGCACATACTAGTATATGATACATGTACGACTCTACCTAGTTGGATATTAAAGCTCAGATGAAAAAATGCACTTGAGGGGTGACTTCACAGGAGGAACTTTTGACGTTTTACGAACATTCGTCAATATTCTAAGTACAAACTGTAGTTTTGAAATACAGACTATAATTATTCATATAGCCTCAACTACTTAAATTACATAAATGATTGTAAAAAGTTTTGTTTTTTAACATTTATATGTGAAAAGGATGGAACTCTTGTAGTAGTTATATTCAAAATAATTACATAAAAAAGTCTAAATTCAAATCGCATAGATAATCTTGTTCACCCATAGAAGTTTCACTTCGTGTATGAGCATTGAACTGGCAACATGCGACTTGAACAATTAATTTCAAATTTGTACCAGTTTTTCATGCTGGAGACAAAGGGGGAACCTCTCGTCAGCTACGACAGGGTTTACTATAGAATGTGTAAAGCCCTTAATTTGACATGTAGTCAGGTTTACAAAGTTGTAAATAAATCAGTTACCTCAGGGGTCGTGTCAAAATCAAAACCAAGTAGGAAACACAAACTGGATAGCTTTGATAAGGGTGTCATACGCAGTGCAGTATATGAACTGTATGAACGCAAAATCCCACCAACGTGTGCTAAAATACAAGATGAGATCAAAGATATAATAAATGTCTCGAAACCACACTTATTGTAGCTCTGGTAGAAATAAGGTTCAGGTACACCAAAAGGGGAGATGACAGAGCTGTGTTTAGAGAAAAGTACTCAGTCCTGTCCATGCGATCAGCTTATCTCAGAACAGTTGAAGAATACAGCAATATGGGGTTTCAAATTATATGAGGTGAGGTGAGGTGAAATTGGGTTTAACGTCGTTCTTGAGAATATTTGGCTCATATGACGACGTGCATGCGTGTGTATGTGTATGTGCGGCTGCTTGTACTAGCCCAGACTTAAGCTGGTTTTATAGTGCTAGCTCACTGAGATACCATGCCGCAGTGAAGCATGAATACCCCACTCAGACACATTATACTGACTCCGAGCCGACCAGTCCTTGTTGTACCCATTAATGCCGAGAGCCAGACAGGGACCAACAAGTACCATATTTTAACGTCTTTTGGTATGACGCGGTCGGGGATCGAACCCCCGACCTTCCGCTCTAACCACTACACCACGGAGGCAGTCTTCAAATTATATAGCTTGATGAAACCTGGTGTAATGTGGCTTCATTCAGATTGTTCTAAGGCACCAGTGTTACCATCAGGCAAAGGTAGACGCCTGATCATCTTACATGCTGGTACCCATAGCAAGGGACTGGTTGGGGGTTGTGACTTTGTTTTTGAGGCCAAGAAATCTGATGGTGATTACCATAGCGAAATGAATGGGCAGATATTTTTGGATTGGTTTGAACATCAGCTTTTACCGCAGCTGGACGAACCAAGCGTTATCATTTTGGATAACGCCAGTTACCATAACCTGCGTGTCTCTCGTACCATCACACCCACCATGAGCAATCTCAAGGCTCAGTTGCAGGATTTTCTCACTTCCTGTAACGTGCCTTACAGGCAATCAGAAACAAAGCCCCAGCTCATGGAAAAAATCCTGCAGCACAAAAAGCCAGTCCAGTACATCAATGACGAACTAGCTGCAAAACAAGGCCACATAGTTCTGCGTACACCAGTACGGCACTGTAAGCTGAATCCCATCTAGCTGATCTGGGGTAACTGTAAGAATTTTATTGCTCGCAATAATACCACATTCACACTTTCAGACGTTAAAGAGCTTGTGTATGCTTCTTTTGCAAGAATTACCCCAGAAGTGTGGCAAAAGGCTGAAGACCGTGTTCTCAAAATCGAGGACGAATACCGTCTGCGGGACGGCGTTAACATCAGCCGAGTTGCCTGACATGCACTGCCCATGCATTACATAACGCTGTCACCCTGTCTGCCTGCCAGGTGGGTCACAGTATAGTTTATTTCTTTGAAGTGTTTCTACCATGGATTTTTTTCTAAGTTTTTCAATATTTTTCCGAGTAATCATGATTAGGGAATGGTACATCGTGATTACTCATATGCCATATTAGGTCGAGGTGGTATGAATGATTATATATGAGTTTTGAATCTGAAATAACAACCATTATCAAATAATTGCCAAAAGCATTTTCCAAGCATTTCTGGCCTTACTTTGGTCAATAATAAATGAAAATTCTGTTCTGAATTCTTTTGGTGTTTTTTGTCCGTAAGATCTGTCAACCATTAAAGGCATCACATGTGTTGTTACTCATTAGTCAGGATGAACTGTGATAGCCAGTGTTTGCCTGCTTACTGGGGCAACAGACAAGAGCTGTACAACCAGCCTCACTCATACATAATGACAGAGTCTGCCTGCCAGACCCCACAAAAACTATATTCAAATAGCAGTGTCCTCAGGGAAATGTTTCTTTACCCCCATCTGGATCCACCCCCAGAAATTAGTATCCCCGGAGATGAAGCATTATTCTGAGATCCATTTGAGATCAAACATATATTTTTAAATGATGGAACTCTATATCTGACACTACATGTAAGACCACACTCAAGCATGTATGTCATCACTAAAGCCTGTATGTCATCACTCAAGCCTCTGTTCCTTCATCAATCGGATGTACATACGCCTTCATCACTCGGACTCTCCTGTTTATTCACTCCAATCTGTTCCTTCATCCGCTTTTACATTATCACTCCAGAGCTTTTCTCCATCCCTCAGAGTGTGTGTCTGACAGTGTCTCTCAGTGCTCCGTTGAAAGACATCAGCCAGTGAAGTCAGTGTCACTTACGTTTAGTTACTACATTTCAGGAAATCCATGCACCATTTCTGGCTCAATCTTGACTTCATTTTGTTTCTCTAGTTACTGAGAAAACTATCCCAATTTAGACACCATGCACTAATAACATGGATCAAGGGACATAATTGTGTATGCTCAAGATCTCCAAACATGTAGTAAGGGAAGTAACTCTGGGAAAAATATTTTAGGGCACAAATTGTAGAACTGATATGTATCTCTGAGAATAGTTTGCAAACTTTCACTCATGTTGCTAGTTTCTGAGAACACTCGTCCTCATTTCATGCAGTACGCAGAGAGTTGAAAAGCATGAAACAAAGGCCAAAACTCTAATAAATGAAGTTATGATGCCTGTTTTCAAACTCATTTGACATTGTGACCAGTAGCATGAGTGTGTAAAATATCACTTCGCCAACTTAAATAGGTATTTTAGTAAACTTTTCAAAGCAGAGCAACGGATGAAAAGATGGACAAACCTGGGCCCTTATTCTCGAAACGTTCGTAGCCCTAAGAATTCTTAACTTTGATCGTAGCCAATGTGTTAAGAATGGGCTTAAGAAGTTCGTAGGGCTTAAGAAGTTTCGAGAATAGTCCTATATCCCCAACCCCACTTAACTTCCGAACTGTGTGACCATATAAGTTGTATGTTTCTCGCTCGGGTAATACGGTCTGATGTATGCCTGTTTGTAGCAGTGTTACCCGAGCCGGTAGGCGAGGGATGAAATCGCTAAAAAAAGGCGTACATCAGACCGTATTACCCAATGGAGAAGCATACAACGTATTTATCTTACCACCATGTTAAATGTAGAAAATATCATCTTATGTTCAAGATCGCAACCGACTATATGACATGCAAACAAAATGGCGTCTGCCTCTCGCCTGGAATTTTAACATCAGTGAAACACATTCTGACAAGCATAAAGCTGCTATAAAAGTTGTTAATTATGTTTAAGCTGAGTGTGCAAACCACTCAATATATAAAATAGCTTAAATAAAGCAGTGAAAGTCGATAAAATAAATCTGTACAAAGTGAACACAAAAACAGCTGATCGAACGGTTTTCAAACTCCGGGTACAGCATGAGTCATATTATGACGTCATACGATTGGTAGCGCTTCAGCTTCTCAGCGGAGAGCTTGATGGTTACCATGGGTAATATTTTTCCCAGTTGTCACCCTCCTAGGAGGGTGACACAGAAACTTGTTAAACTGTCATTGACCAATGAAATTAAAGTATTTTACATGAAGGTAAGATAAATCCTCTTGCATCATGCTGGATATGCTTGTTATCAGTTGAAGAAGTTTGACTGATCAGTTATTGCTGAAGAAATATTGATCACTTACATTAAATCCAAATAATGTAATGTAAGCAGAAATATTTGTGTTGGAAACTGGTTGATGACTGGATCACGCAAGCTGATTGATCAACAACATTCATTGTTTGGCCTTATGTGGCTGTCAGAATGACAGAATTAAGAGAGGGAGCAAAACAGTTTGTCTTCTTTTGTTAATCAAATTACCAACAATGTATTACATTTGACGTTCTCATCTCCATATTCACCACATAAGACTCAATCATCATAATTTAGTTTTATTTCATAATTTGATAATATATACAACATAAGTACTTTCTACAAACTGACATAGCAAAATGTACAAAATCTTGATTAAAAGTTCATGTGCTGCCTCAGATATGATTAAAATATATTGGGTAGTATGTACAATTATGGCAGTGCTCAGACCAGCCTGGGTTGGGAATAACATTGAACTGTCTTCCACAAACCATGAACACTAAGGTGTGGCAAGGATGCCATCACCAGGGTGTTGTTACTCTCCCTGTATTTCACCGCATGGTGGAATGATTTACTTCACTTTCATGTTGGAATTATTACAATCAGGATAGATGCTTTGTTGTATATTATTCCGTTTCTCCATCACTTGTCAGGACATATTGTGAGAAAATACCCCAGCCCCACCCACTAGTACCACTTATTTGTCAGTGTAACAGGAAAAACAGTTTCCATGTATCAGCTGAAAGTATATGAAATCCCAGCCAAAATGATACATAGATGGGACAGGCTATTTAGCTAAAGCCTGATTGGTTAGGGTGTGTGTGAAATACCTCCCATGGCCAGATGACCATGTTATCCTGAGACATCACTGTCTGTGTGAATGTACTTCATATGAAAAAAATATAATGTTGAGCAGGACCTCAATCCACATTGCACTGATAATAATACATGTATAACCATGGTAACATAGATTCAATACTTGTAGCACTACATCAATCCTACTTCGTTAACCTATAGAGATCCTAGTAGTGAAAGTGGTGTGTGAATGTGCTTTGACATACTTTTTTAACCTATACAGATTCATGTAGTTGAAGTGCTATGTGAAGCTTACATCTGTGCTAACCTATACAGATCCATGTAGTTGAAGTGCTATGTAGTTGAAGTGCTATGTGAAGCTTACATCTGTTAGGCTAACCTATAGAGATCCATGTAGTTGAAGTGCTATGTGAAGCTTACATCTGTGCTAACCTATACAGATCCATGTAGTTGAAGTGCTATGTGAAGCTTACATCTGTGCTAACCTATAGAGATCCATGTAGTTGAAGTGCTATGTGAAGCTTACATCTGTGCTAACCTATAGAGATCCATGTAGTTGAAGTGCTATGTGAAGCTTACATCTGTGCTAACCTATAAAGATCCATGTCTTAGTTAACCTTACGGAATAGTTTAGCACAACAAATGATCCTCTGATTAAGGCCAAACTTCGGTTTGTAAACCATATGACAGGCTAATAATTAATGCAATATGTGACACCATACATATTGAAACAGAATAAAGCTTATCGTGTCCTGTACTGATTGGGTTAAAATGGTAGTGAATCATTTCAGGTTAAGTGATAACATACAATTAAAATATTTAAAGAGAGCATGATGGGTTGCTATGGCAGCAAGAAAATGTCATTAAGTTTGCTCTTCTCTCTTAAAATCCACTGTACACAATAAAAAGTTGTAAACTTTTAAGGCTAGTCAATTAGCTGCTAGGTAAGTGGGAGTAATCTGCCCCTGCTGCAGCCCAAGCTGAACATCGGTAATTAAGTAGTGTACCTGGATAATGCACATTCCCTGAGCTCAGAGTATAACTACACAACAAGCTCTGACTTTACAGAACCAAATAAACATTTCAGTAACACATTGGCATATCAGTGGCAAAGGTTGTGCAACACTGAACAATGCAAGATGACAAATCTGTGATTATAGCCACCAACTGATAACATGAATCTACTGAGAAATATGATAACTTAATGTGTCTGAAGTGGTATATGCGCTCGCTGAATACTGGTGCAAAGGTTTCATGCACAGACAGACTAAGGTGTGTATGATGGGCGACAGACTAACCATTGTTTCCTTAGCAAAATGGATTCCCCGGATTATATCATCACATTAATGTCTCTTATACTTATAGCTCTTATTCCATGACGCATAATAGTCTGCTGTCATATCAAACCCCATGGTAATCTCCAAGACACAAACAGAAATTCATGATCATGAGCTATCTTGAACTGTGGTAAAACTGATACTCCTGGTTGTGGAAAGATAGCCTACAGCAGCACAGGTTAAGGCGAAATTTAAGTCCCCTTACTGAATATGTATTCTTCTGTGCTGAACTGGCTAATCTAACTGTAATGAACAACTCATGATGGTGTATTTTGAGGAGTCCCCTTCAAAGTGGAATAAACAACTTTGTTGCGCATACCGCCACAACATATGTGCACACCACACATCAAGGCTCACTTTAGAACTACCATTTTCTCAACCGACAGTGATATACACAAATGTCCTGCATACCCACTGACTGAACTTAAAATACACGGCACATGATCATTCATACTTTTCCATTGATAAAATAATTGTCAAGCTCTGTATCTGATGCATATTCAGGTTTTCAGGTTTTGAACACTGAGCAGTCTGCACCAAAACAATTTATTTTGGTATCAATTTCAGTAGATTTTAGTCTGAACGTGTGAGCTTCTACAATATTATCTTACATGGTAAATAAATAGGCAAATAAATGTAAATAAAACCAACTACAGTTTCCTTGTTTTGCCAAATGAGGTTTTAACAGAAGCTGTCACTTACAGAATCTGTAAGGTTATATCATAAAAGTCCCCGCCCGGTCTCATGAAGAATTATGAAGTAGCTATACCATAGCACCATAAATAGTAAATATACTTGAGGTGAAGTGAAGTGTTCTGCTATAGACTATAAGGGGAACGTCTTTGAATCAGATCGCCTTAGTCGTTTTGCAACAGGCCCATTGAGAGAATCTTCATTTTTTCGTTTGCTACTATTCTGGTTTCTCAAGCATTTACCCCCAAGGAAAAGACTGTTCTCAAGGCACATAGCACGTTTAGCGGCATCTTTAGCTTGTCGCAAAGTCCTTCTTGTTTTTCTGACTATTCCCTTGGAATGCTTGTTTTTCTGTTTCGTACAATAATGACTCATATCATTTGAGTTATTCTTGTTCACATCCTCCAACTTGGACACAACAAAGTCCTGGTGCCTCCTCTTCCCATTTTTGCCCTTAGCATCCCTGAGCAAATGATTCTCCCCCTCTTGACGCAGCACTTTCCCAGCTCCAGACAGCCTGGCTGGCTTCAGAACTCTCTCACATCCAGCAGGAGGGGCTTTATTCTTGTCATTATTACCCTGGGATTTCTGCTGACACAGCACTCCCGGGGCTGGTAAGTTGCCCCCAGACATAGATCGAGTCCGCACGTTCTCAACACGACTCTTGGTTGTCCATGTATCGGAGCTCTCAACTGGATGTACATCAGGGGAACTGGAACATGGCCAAGGACCAAGCTTTTGGTTTCCTGGCTCACGGAGAGGTAAAACGTTGGGTTCCTTAATGGAGGTAAAGCCATTAGAAGTAAGAGATGGTAGTTTGGACGATGTTCCCGAGTCAGGAGGCACAGCAGATGCTGAGGGAGTTGTCTTTAGAGAAGCGAGTAGCTGAACACTATCATCCAACACATCAGACTGCAAATGTGGAAGAGTCAATTTCTGAGCACTTTTTCCAGATCGGGACTCGCTCTTGTGTTCGTCTGCTTCCTTGTCACTGTCCCTTCCAACATTTAGCAGTCTTGTACTCAGTTTAGCTGGGGCACTTTTGGGTGTCGGAGGTAGAGGAGTAGCACCTTGCTGGGGTGTACTTGGTGGCTCACAAGCTGCAGCATTTTCTGTGTTGAGTGACTTCTCTGAACTACAAGTGTCCTGGTCATCCTTGTGGCCATCAGCAATACTTGCCTCCATGCTGGACTTTGCCTTTATGGCCTCCTCTCTCCGCTTCTTCAGTATGCTGAGCTTGCTCGGCCCAAGAGGATCAATAAGAACAACAATTGCACTTGTATTGTCTGCCTTCATCATCCGTGCTCGCCACTTGTTGAGGGCCCTTGTAACCAGGCGCTCAGCAGGATTCACCCAGTAGCTAAGAGGAACAGTCTGTAAACAAATCAAACACTTCACATTAACATCATGCATATCAGGGGGCCGTACACCAGTACAGTAGTAGCACTGACCTACGCAGGAAAGTTTATTGAGTGAGAGACATTGCATTGTTGTATAGTACCTATCCAAGTAGTTCCAGCAATGTGACCTCTTTTGTATATTAATGGTTTATCACGCAGGTTGGACGCACTGACAAATAACACTATTATGTAACACATTTTATACTAGAGTATTAAATTATTTGAGGTAAAACTGATGTAAAAGATGTATGGCAATAGATTTGACAAAAACACACAAATATTCTACACATGGAGGGGAATACTAGAGATCAATATGGAAAGTTAGTTTAACATTTGAAACGTATTTCAAATTCAAATTAGTGCTGTCACATTCTACAGATAGCAAGTTCCACAAAGCTTTATCTTCTGTTTCTCACAAATTATTGATATCAAATACTCAATAAATGTCAAACTTCACATCTACCTTCATGCTACTTTCCAAAATCTGCCCTGGCAAAATGTTTAAAGGGAGGTAACTCTATTGTTAAATGAAACCTACATGAAGAAGACAAAAAGTGGTTGCACACGAACCGAACAGTAACAGTCATTCAATCACTGTCTTTCTTGTCATCAGAGTCAATGCTGCTCGTCAGTTCTTCATCAATTTGTTTCAAGCTTAAGTCTGGGTTCTTTGAAAATCAAAATATTACATGCAATAGGTGCAACTTGGTATTAATACGAAGCTGCATCTTGTAGTTCCAGGTTGCATCAGTAGAAGTTCTGAATGCTTAATCGTGCCGTCATGTTTACAAAATACTGTTACTGTCCTGAGGGTTTGTTTGAAATCCTGGTGACAATCAGATACAGAAGTAGATTATCTAGACGAGACAAAGCAGTGGTTGGTAGGTTGAAACTTGGTCCCTGCCATGGAGGCAGAATGACACATACTATCAGCCACCTCACTAACAGTGTTCCTGATTTCACATACTGGGGAGTAATGATGCCCATAAAGCATGACCAATATCACACACCTCATCATTGACGACTCTGTCTTCGAAGTGCATCTCCAGATCTGAAACAATGGCCACACTTTCCTCAGCCTTGAGCATGTTCCAGAGGCCGTCTGAAGCCAAGACCAGACACTTGTGTCGCTGGGGGTCCAACTTGTGAACCGCCACATCTGGCTCGGGAGACACCACAAACTTCTCACTGAAGTAGTCATAGCTCCACAAGTCACCTGGCAACATACATGGATCACTGTCACAATAGCCACCTGTCATACATCACACCAGAAACAAATACACTGTTAGTGTTAAACAACTGTCCTTGATATTTGCCACAGAAATGTACAAACAACAATGAACTAAACACTACCTGTATATAGTGCATCATATTAGATGTGTGTTGGCATTTCCTGTAACTTGGAATTATTTCCAATGAAGGTTTTTGTCCTTTTAAAAGTGATTTAATGTATAACCCTATCATCTATATTCAGTGTTGTTACTACGGTCAGGCACATGTCCCTCCATAAGGCATTAGCATGGTTATTTCCCAGTTTTACAACATGGACCACCAGGAGAAATATCTGGGGCGGGTCAAACCTGTGAGCTGAATTCAGCATGCTAAATGTGGAGGCTATTGGGAGCCAGATATTTCACTGTGACTGAGGCAGTCCCAAAATGACTTCAAACAAAGGTAACCCACTGGTAATATTTTCATAATAATATATGTTCTGAATGTATTTCTTACATTGGTAATGGGGAACAAAATAAAATACCTAATGATCTGGCAACTGCCAGGAAGGGTATTTTGTCAATCTGAGTGCTGCGCCTGATGGGTCCCTTGTGGTGCACCTTTGGTCGACTCCATACAACCCTCTGAACACCTGACTTGGCCACCACAGCACCACCACAGTTCTCTATCCGAGACTTCTCCTCCGGGCTGTCAGGCTTGTGTTCCTACACAATACATACAAAGTCATTGACAGATCCTGTAACATGGTAACATGCTGGTGGTACCTGGAGAGTACTGGCTAACACTTCACAACAGCACATTGGTTGGTTTGGTTGGTTAAATGCCACACTCAGCAATATTCCAGCTATATGGTGGCGGTCTGTAAATATCAAGTCTGGACCAGACAATCCAGTGATCAACAGCATGACCATCGATCTACGCAACTGGGATGCGATGACGTGTCAACCAAGTCAGCGAGTCTGACCACCCGATTCCCTTAGTCGCCTCTTACGACAATCATGGGTTACTGAAGACCAATTCTAACCCAGATCTTCACGGGTCACACAGCATACTGGGCCCATTCAACAAAGTGATCTTATTACCATCGTAAGCCTATATTTCAATATGGGAGCTACAGAAACCTCAATACTAAAAAACCTCGTAAGGATGGGAAAGCCACATTAACTTGTAGAGGTGGAAATAACTTTAAAATTGCTAGTGTACTCCGGTACAGTGGCACATGTAAAAGCACTTGCCCGGGTAATTTTCCCACTATACCGACCGTTTTCTTGTTGATTTTTTAAAATAAACATAATTAACATTGGAATATCAACTGGACACCGGTACAGTGTGATATACAAATTTGCTTGCCCGACAGAAAAAAACACTGTACTCGGGCGTCAGGCAATGGGTTATTTCCACCCCTGACTTGGTGCGCCTATAGTGGCTGCAAGAGTTGCATGCTCCCCAGGGAGTTGAGATTGATAATCGAAGTGCTGTTGAGGTGGACATCCAATGATCGAGGGAAACACAAAGCACCTGTGAGTAGCCTAGATGGAACTCGGCACTATATAAAAAGATTATTAATATATCATAAAAATCACTTAGTGGAATGGGGTCCAGAATAAGGATGTATATGTACCTTTGTAAGGCACTTGGCATCCATGAAAACTGCATTTGGAGGACCCTTGTCAAGTCCAAGCACAATACCCGAGTCTCCAACATGTCCAATGTAAAGTTTGCAGTTCTTGATAATGGCTATACTGGCTGTAGTGCCAGCTGTGCTGGGGAGTCCACTCCAGGTCTTCGGCCATTTGTCTGCAATTGAAATTCCTGTGTTTATCATTGCTGACCATAGTAGACAGGGGTAGAAATAACTTTAAAATTGCTAGTGTACTCCAGTACAGTGTCACATGTAAAATCACTTGCCCTGATAATTTTTCCGCTATACCGTCCGTTTTCTTGTTGATTTTTTAAATAAACAACATAATTAACATTGGAAAGTCAACTGGACACCGGTACAGCATGATATACAAATTTGCTTGCCCGACAGAAAAAAACACTGGACTCGGACGTCAGGCAATGGGTTATTTCCACCCCTGGTAGATTCAGTATAAATAAAATATCATTAACACAATCAACTTACATCCAAGGATATTTCTTGGTATGTGTCATACCAAATTTGACAAAATTATATTCTGGCGCGCATGTATTATAAACATGATTTAGGGACTTGTTGAAAATATTCACATTATTTAAAGAATGATTATTTGCAAATAAATGTACATAAATTTTGCATTGTGTTTGAACATCAGTCATGACCATATTCATATGTTAAACCTACCCTTTAAGGGCCTTAAGCACAAATGAAATTTTAACTAACTCACCATATTATAAACTACAAATGTGTCTGGCTGCACTGTTTAAGACTGTATACATGGTTGAGAAAAGTAGGGTAGTATACCAGAGATGCCAACCCAAGAGTGTTGCAAATAGTAGTTTCAAGGATCAAAATTTGTAGTTTGACCATCAAATTAGTAGTCAACTAAATACTTAAAATCATAATGATTTCTGAGAAAAATGATATGACACTAATCAGGAGTGAAGCTTTAATTTCACATACCTCCAGCAGCACATTTCCTAATTATCAGCATTACATTTCTTTTGTTGTCTCTTTTTGGCGAAAATGTATTTAATCGACGAAAATATGTTTTTGTCTACATATCCGAAATTTTAATTAATTGTCTTCAAATTTCATAGAATTTCTTGTGCAATCGTATTGGCGTAGTTCGAGGCTAAAATTCGTAGCGACTACGATGCATCAGTGTAGGTAATAACTTTCATCTGCACTAGACAGCTGACATTTGCACTAGTCTTTTCACTGTCTTTTGTGTGTGTGTGTGTGTGTGTGTGTGCGTGCAAGGAGTGACCTGGTAGCAGAACTACAATCTTGCCAATCTGTCACTGGCATAACTAGTGGAGGACAACTCAATGGCAAAAGATATTGGTTATGTATTCTTTTTCAAGTGAACATGTTCTTTTTGAGACGGGAAATGACATTTTACATATTACACCCCACTACAATGAAAACTATGTTGGCAAGTCAGGCTACCTGGTTTATTTGTTCAAGAGCCAGAAAGAAAAAGAAGCCATGTGCTATCATGCAGGTGCTTACTTTGCACACTGGTTGTGATCATAGCGACAGTGGCCCTTCAAAGATGACATCTCTGCATTATCATAATCACTGCTAGACACTTACAGCATTGAGCAGAAGAGTACAGGCCCAAACATTTATAATCATTTGAAAGTTGGCTTCTTAAATCCTTGTAGTGTAAAATGTGGAAAGGCGTGGTTAAGGCATGGTTAAATGCATGAGTATGTGTTGTCACTGTATGCTGCTGTATCAGCGTATGAGAACATTTATCAGACATGGCAAAATAATACCAGTTGATATCTTTAACCATTTTGGTTCATTTAGATTATCAAAATACCCACCAACAACTTGTTGCAGGAGAGTGATATCTCATAAACTACATTAGCTACACAGAAATTACTTAAAATTGGTAATGTTTAAAGTTTATTGCTACCAGGGCGACTATATAACGGGGAGTGGTCACTCCTCGAAAAGCCCCTTAGCGTATGCCTCGTCACGTGACCAGTGTAGCCAATATGGCGTCAGCTTAGTTTTTAAGATTGAGCCCGTTTTATTTTCAACAGCTGATAAGTTACCTATTCTGTCACTTCATTTTAAGTCAAAAAATTGTTATTAGTGTCAGTATTAGTACAGTAGATTTGTAGTAAAGTTTCAAGTCGGCATGTTGTAGCTCACTGGCTTCAATTCTAGGTACACAGCGAAGAAAGATTAAATTTTATCACTAAAAACTTCTTTCACATATTCGTGTAATTTTTAGAAGGGAAATATACCTTTAGTTGAAAGGTGTTTGCAAGTAATAGTGATAGTTTTATAACTTTATAAAAATTGTTAGGGTGTATTTGAGGTGTGTGAAAAATATGACATATCGACGATCTGTTCTTATCCACCATTGATGCTTGTGATGCTTGAGTGTTATAGTTCTAAAACTTCTTTCTTTCTCGTTGATCTTAGTATTTGACAAAACTGGAAAGTTGTTTACGACGCTTTGTGATAGTTTTAAACTTTCTGTTTTTGAGGGGTGTGTGACAGTGTCAGTTAACATTCTGTCAATGTCCATGCCATTGCTCTTAATTCCTGCTATAATTCATTCATTCATTCAGTGTAAAATTCCGATTGATACAATAAACTGGCTGAAGTACTGTATAATGCAGCCGAAGTTGCGCTGGGAACGAACCAAGTCATTGTGTGCGTTGGTGCATGACGAGGCACACGCTAATCAGTACAAATGGTAAAGAAAGCAAGCGAGTGACCTATCCCTGTTGTAGATTATCCCTGTTACTACCTATTGTCTTTCCACTGCATAGCCTTGTTGGTCAACTTTTTATACCTGTGTTCCGTGTTTGTCTTCAGTGCATAACTGACAGCCAGTCTTCTCTAATTTGAATCTGTCAATGTCATTGATAGCTTAAAATCTGCCTGCACATGTATCACGATCTTTCCTGTTGTTATCCATTGCACTTTTAAGAGACAAAAGGCAGCGCTGAACATGATAAAAGTAATTTAATTCAACTGATATATATATATTTTAAATACTGTAGGTACCTGTAACCGACATTGATTATGGAAACAATATCATCATTAAAATTGTAATAGAAACAATATCATCATTAAAATTGTAATCCATTATTATCTTATCTCCTTATGATACAAAGTTACTTTGCAGTACAGGTATCTGTGTGAAAGGTACCTCAGTTCTCAGTGTTACTTATCAGTAAATTCAGGACAGATTTACGAAAAGATTGTTATTCCCAGACTGAGCGAAAAAGTAACAGATCAATTCTATCTGTTTAGTGACAATGTGAACGGAAGCACCGGACACGAACTGACTGGCCTATCCCTTTTGCCACCACCATGATCAAGCACAGACACGAACGTTGGACAACCTTCACCTTTCTCTCGCTTCGCGGAATTGATTTTGCTTGGATTCTGATACGCGCTAAATTTACTTTTCGAAAAGAACTTTTGCTATATATATACACACACGTCCCAATTGGAGAATACCGTTGATTCAATACTAATCAATAAAAAAATTATGTTCACAATAAACCAAGAGATCATAAAAACAATACAAACGACACTGAACGGCCATGTCCGGTGAAGTTATATTATTGACGACCCGAACAGCTACGAAAATAGCGCGCGATATTACAGTTTAAAACAACTTCCGTTCTGTCATTTAGCCCAAAATAGTGAGTTACATTAACACAGATGTTAGTCGTTTGTAATCTTTTAGTTAAATTGGTTTATCAACTGTGTGTGGGACAGTGATAGATACATGTATGAAAACGACTAATCTGGGTGTGAGTGAAAATATCTCGGCAGTGAACGAAGTCACTAAGGCTCAGCACGCTAGACAATTGCCACTTACCAACTTCTCTCCACATGGCTTGATGCGTGTCAAGAAATCCATTTCGTATAGCCCACATAATGTCCTCGTCATTTTCACTCCAAAATGCACCGTATTTTGTTATTTCATCCAATAAGTTATCTCGCGCAAACCGTGATGCCTCAGGACCGCCATGTCCATCGAAGATTCCGAAGTAGGCAAACTCATAGTCTTTACCATCTTGTCGAATGAATCTTGTGGCATGTGTGTCTTCCATATAACGCCTACCACCTTGACTCGAATTTCCAGACACCCTAAGGTTAACACCAATTTTGTTGCTCGTCATTTTGACAAGATACTTTCGGTACACGACATGGATAACCTCCAAACACAACGGCGGAAACACAGCCTCACTCTCATTGGCTGAAGCTAGTAAATGACCCATGATGTTCTATATATAGAAACAAACATTACTCGTAGCACGTGACACGTCGAAGAAAATACCTGCTGGGGTTTCCCGTGCCATAACAGGATCATGCTTACTTACTTACTTACTTAAAGTTTGTTAGGTTCAACGTATGTTTTATAATATTTCAGATTATGTAAATTATACTATTGAATACATATATAAAATAATGAATTAAAATAAGGGACAGATATTGATCGATGCCGGACACAATTCTAGGGTTTCAGATGCCTTCGATTTGTTTCTCTTGTATGTAGATGTCTAAATGTCTTAGCGTTACTATTTATCTACTTCGTGAACCTTTTACCTCCTCCGTAGGACGTTTATCCACAATGAATATTTATTTCGTTGCATAAAGGAAAACGTTGATTTTTGATAATTATACAGGACGTATTTGTTTCTGGGTTGTTTTTTTATTGCCCGGGTTTTCATGTTGATATAATATAACATCAAATATACTCGGTTCTCCGAAGAAAATAGGGTTTAAAGCTAAGAGACAAGTAAGTGACCGTTCATAATTTATAGCTAGGGTGGAGGAGGGGCGTTGATGATTATTTTTATGGAGAAGCATGTACAATGTGAATTACCCCACTCCCCCTAAAAGTTATGTACAAAGTCTCCCCCCCACCCCAATGTCATGTAAAATATCAATGGCCACCCCCTAGTACATGTGTACAAAATTGATGAGCCCACCCTCCCCAAAACAAAATGGGTGACCCCCTTTAAGTCATCATCATCATCATCATCACCCATCCCCTAGCCATAAATTATGAACGGTAGCTCGGTAACTGGTGACTGTTGTGGTATAACTAAACATAACCATCCCATGCTTGTTTGTTACAATACTTAACTTGTACGGATGATTGACAGATATTATTTTCACGTTCCGCATGCGCACTCCACGACCAGGCGGTAAAATGCTCATACCTCGAAAACAAGATAATTGTCTTAATATGTTTTGGCCCAATTTGCTGCTTACAATACATTTCAATGTTATGTGAAAGAAATGCGATTATTTTGTTAGAATTATTTACAATCCTGCGTGTTATAAGTTTTGAAGGAAACACGAGGACATCATGATAGGTTATATGATCACGTTCGGTAGACACCATGAGCACTTCAGTCGCGTAGATGGAGGGAATCTAAAGGAAACCTGTCTTTCATCTCCTGGAAACACGAGGGACGCGGAAAACAGAGAAAACATTGACTTCAGGTACAGATCATAACCACATGTTCCGTTATTTCATCATCTGCAGCTGTAAAAGTATTTAACTTTGATCGTCTAAACTGTAAACCTTACCGTGATTTTGTAGCTTTACGATTTACCGTAATTATTCATACCGTATAATGAATACGGTGAATTTCTGGCAACCGGAGGAATGCCTGTGCATGTACGGTGACGTGAAATAACCATTTACTGGCGTTACTTCACATACACATGTATGGCAGCAATATAGAAACATTATCTATTTACTGGCGTTACTTCACATACACATGTATGGCAGCAATATAGAAACATTATCTATTTACTGGCGTTACTTCACATACACATGTATGGCAGCAATATAGAAACATTATCTATTTACTGGCGTTACTTCACATACACATGTATGGCAGCAATATAGAAACATTATCTATTTACTAGCGTTACTTCACATACACATGTATGGCAGCAATATAGAAACATTATCTATTTACTGGCGTTACTTCACATACACATGTATGGCAGCAATATAGAAACATTATCTATTTACTAGCGTTACTTCACATACACATGTATGGCAGCAATATAGAAACATTATCTATTTACTGGCGTTACTTCACATACACATGTATGGCAGCAATATAGAAACATTATCTATTTACTGGCGTTACTTCACATACACATGTATGGCAGCAATATAGAAACATTATCTATTTACTGGCGTTACTTCATATACACATGTATGGCAGCAATATAGAAACATTATCTATTTACTGGCGTTACTTCATATACACATGTATGGCAGCAATATAGAAACATTATCTATAACATGGGAACTACTGTTCATTCTCGTTACATGCGAAATCGCTATGCCTAACGTGTACGTGCTGCGATCATATTCTATTCAAATAAAAATAATACAACTTTGTTAAGGTCTGTCACCCTTCTGCGTTTCCTAATTCCTTATGAGTTGCGCTTTGACATTTCTTTCATACGCACCTCGTATGCATCTGAACCTTTTTGTGTAAGTTTTATGTACGCCGATATGCGTACAGTACGGCCCAGTACGTCTGATAGCTCTGGGCATGCACAAAACTACTCTGCGTACGCAGGTCGTAAGTTATAAATACGCAATGCATCGGTCCATATGTGTATGCTATGTGTTCGTGGGGGATAAGCGGTTCATACGGTTATATCCCACGACTCCCACATCCCAATACTACCACACATTGTTAAAACAACAACTGTTCATCACCCCTTTTTATGTAATAGGATAGCCCAGGATGTGCACTGAACTGAAACAACAGATAATGATACATCACCTGACTTAGTAGAGTAGAGATTTTAGTAGAGAAGAGAGCAGTTATTAATAAATATGAAATATATATAATATAAATCCCTGCATATTTCATGTAGGCAAAAATTGTAAATTTTATTTTCTTGTTTTACCTTGAAATGTTGTTGATTACGTTCATAGTGTTGTGAATATACAAAACATAACTTCTGCAATCTTAACATACATTTAATGTGCATGTATAGTAAAATATGCAGTTTTACAATATAACATGGCTAATGAGTTTTGAAATTTTATATTTATTGCTTTAAAGGGGTCAACACGCCAAACAATTCCTTTTAATTCTGATTTGCAAATATAAAGTAATATGTAGCAAAAACTTCAAAATGAGAATATGAATTGTATTGTGCATACTTGAAGCTGTACTACCAAACATACTTGAAGCTGTACTACCAAACATGCTTGAAGCTGTACTACCAAAGATACTTGAAGCTCTACTACCAAACATGCTTGAAGCTGTACTACCAAACATACTTAAAGCTGTACTACCAAACATACTTCAAGCTGTACTACCAAACACACTTCAAGCTGTACTACCAAACATACTTGAAGCTCTACTACCAAACATGCTTCAAGCTGTACTACCAAACATGCTTGCACTATCAAATCCAGGCATAAACACATAAATCAATTCTAATTAAATAAGGAAATTGGTAGTGTTATGGTATGGTATGGACATTGGCATTAATTATTATGGTAGTGACACAATAATAGTAGTGACATTTTTAATAATAGCCAGTTTATATGTTTACTTTAAAAGATAATTTAATGAAATTTGTTAGTCAGATATTTCAGAATATTTAAACAATATGTAATAGGCAAAATATTTACTTATGGGTGTCCCTGACATGTAAAAAAACAGGTAAAGACTGCATGTTACGGCAGGATTCAGGAATTTATTCTCATAAATCATACAAATGACATGTTTGGAGTAGATTGTCTTACCTTAAGTATATACTTTCAGGTGCGTTCTTTCTAAAATAGTTGCATTTTCATACCCCCAAACTTCTGACCCACATAATAAAATTGGTAAAATGCATTGATCAAAAAGTTTCAGCTGACAGTCAGTTTGGATTTCAAGTTCCCTAATAGTTTTAAAAACAGAAAACACCGCCCGTGTTGCTTGTTCTGCAAGTCTCTTAATTGCTTTAGCAAACTTACCATTGCCGTTAACTTAAATAGAATTCCCAAGTACTGTTATTCTCGGACAACGCGGACGGTATATAATGTCACCACCGGCCCTATCACAGCTCTTCGTTGTATTCACTACTGGTTAATGGATTAAACCATTACAGACTGTGGTAATCGGTATGCTAAAGTGTGTGCAGTCAACCAGAAATGTTGTTGTTATAAGTTGTGGAAATTTTGGAATATGGAAGTTTTGGGAGGATACCGTACCGTACGTGGTAATACGCTGATCTTCCGGCACGAGCTATGAGCCGTGTATATTGGACATATATACATAGCGTACTTGCAGTGCAGATACAACGCACACTGAACGAACTCCTAGTGAATGCCCACGTATTGCACGAATTAGTACCGTTTGTCCTGCGATCGGACAGCCCGTTGTACTTATTTGTAACGTATGACAAACGGACAGATAACGTACTTGCCGAACATCAACCAGGATTTGGTAAATATGATGTATGTAGTAACTGATCCACGTTTCGGGCGACCAATGATGACAAAAGGTTGATGTTGACGCTATGGAATCTGCACAAGTAATGAAAAAAGACGATTTTTTATAAATCCTGAATACGCTCGGCATTCGTCGGAAGTGCATCCAGACATGCGGTCGGCATAAGCTGGGTGCGTCCGGAATACGCTCGGCATGCATGCGCACTGCATATGCAGCTTTTTGCAGCATGAAAAATAATGTTACGCAAATCACACGCATTGGATGCGCTTGAATTCGTTATTTATACGCTAGATATGCGTCACACTTAAGTCAAAATAATCGAAACATTTCGCAATTTTGAGCGTACGCCTGCGTATTGAATTTTTTTTATACGGAACTCATAAGCGCTTATGTATGCAAAAGTGTGACAGGGGCTTTAGATGAATCTTTGCACAAGATGATTCAGGTTGTATTGTTAAAGGTCACATGCAGCCAAAAAAACGAACATAATTAAAACACAATTTTCACTTATTCATGACATATAATATACATTGCTCATTATGAACAAAACAAATAAACAAAATTATAAGCGTACAATCGCAAATCAAAAGTGCATTATTTTGTACTTGGGTTTACTTCCCTCGAAACGAAGCACCCGGGACACCGAACCCAGTCAGAGCGGGTGGGCGTGCACTTAAGCTGGTTCATTTGCCGATACACTCTTTGTGTGTGTATGTTGGGTTTTGTAAATACATGCTCATT